TCATCTCCGAAGCACCGTCATGATCACCATCGTCACCGGCATGACACCATGATCTCCATCATCTTGATCTATATCAATGTGTCGTCACATGGTTGTCTCGCCAACAATTGCTCTTGCAACTATTGCTGTCGCATAGCGATAAAGTAAAGCAATTATTTGGCGCTTGCATCTTATGCAATAGAGAGATAACCATAAGGCTTTTGCCAGTTGCCGATAACTTAAACAAAACATGATCATCTCATACAATAACTTATATCTCATCACGTCTTGACCATATCACATCACAACATGCCCTGCAAAAACAAGTTAGACGTCCTCTACTTTGTTGTTGCAAGTTTTACGTGGCTGCTACGGGCTTAGCAAGAACCGTTCTTACCTACGCATCAAAACCACAACGATAGTTTGTCAAGTTGGTGCTGTTTTAACCTTCGCAAGGACCGGGCGTAGCCACACTCGGTTCAACTAAAGTTGGAGAAACTGACACCCGCCAGCCACCTGTGTGCAAAGCACGTCGGTAGAACCAGTCTCCGTAAGCGTACGCGTAATGTTGGTCCAGGCCGCTTCATCCAACAATACCGCCGAACCAAAGTATGACATGCTGGTAAGCAGTATGACTTATATCGCCCACAACTCACTTGTGTTCTACTCGTGCATAACATCAACACATAAAACCTGGCTCAGATGCCACTGTTGGGGAACGTGGTAATTTCAAAAATTTCCTACGCACACGCAAGATCATGGTGATGCATAGCAACGAGAGGGGAGAGTGTTGTCTACGTACCCTCATAGACTGTAAGCGGAAGCGTTATATCAACGCGGTTCATGTAGTCGTACGTCTTCATGATCCGACCGATCCAAGCACCGAAAGCACGACACCTCCGAGTTCTGCACACGTTCGGCTCGGTGATGTCCTCGCCTTCTCGATCCAGTAAGAGGGGCGAAGTAGTAGATGAGTTCCGGCAGCACGACGGCGTGGTGACGGTGTTGGTGAAGAACAATCTTCGCAGGGCTTCGCCTAAGCACTACGAAAACTATGACGGAGGATAAACTAGAGGAGACGGAGTTGCCGGCACACGGCTTGGTGTTTCTTGATGTGTCTTTGGTGCTAGCCCTACCCCTCTATTTATATGTTGAGCCCTGGGGTCGAAACTTGGAGTAAAAGCCTCCTCAAAGTAGGTTTCACCCGAAAGGCAAGAGTCCTTCTCGGACTCCAGGGCTAGACGCCAGGGTTCCCGGCGTCTACTCCCTAGACGCCAGGGTTCCTGGCGTCTAGCCTCTGGTCTCCGCAAAACTTCCTTTTGCACTTTCCAAAAGCCTCGTGGGCTTTCCCCTTTGGCCCAGATAAAGTGTTCTCGTGCCTAAACATTTCGGGAAACATCCGGAACCCCTTCCGGTGAATTCTGGAACCCTTCCGGAGATCAAACACTACTATCCCACATATCAAACTTTGTCTCCGAACCATTCCGGAGTTCCTCGTCATGTCCATGATCTCATCCCGGACTCCGAACAACATTCGGTCATCAACATACATAACTCATATAGTACTACATCGTCAACGAACGTTAAGCGTACGGACCCTACGCGTTCGAGAACTATGTAGACATGACCGAGACACCTCTCTGGTCAATAACCAATAGCGGGACCTGGATGCCCATATTGGCTCCTACATATTCTACGAAGATCTTTATCGGTCAGACCGCATAACAACATATGTTGTTCCCTTTGTGATCGGTATGTTATTTGCCCGAGATTCGATCGTCGGTATCTCAATACCTAGTTCAATCTCGTTACCGGCAAGTCTCTTTACTCGTTCCATAATACATCATCCCGCAACTAACTCATTAGTTGCAATGCTTGCAAGGCTTATAGTGATGTGCATTATCGAGTGGGCCCAGAGATACCTCTCCGACAATCGGAGTGACAAATCCTAACCTCGAAATACGCCAACCCAACAAGTACCTTTGGAGACACCTGTAGAGCACCTTTATAATCACCCAGTTACATTGTGACGTTTGGTGGCACACAAAGTGTTCCTCCGGTAAACGGGAGTTGCATAATCTCATAGTCATAGGAACATGTATAAGTCATGAAGAAAGCAATAGCAACAAACTAAACGATCAAGTGCTAAGCTAACGGAATGGGTCAAGTCAATCACATCATTCTCCTAATGATGTGATCCCGTTAATCAAATGACAACTCATGTCTATGGTTAGGAAACATAACCATCTTTGATCAACGAGCTAGTCAAGTAGAGGCATACTAGTGACACTCTATTTGTCTATGTATTCACACATGTATTATGTTTCCGGTTAATACAATTCTAGTATGAATAATAAATATTTATCATGATATAAGGAAATAAATAATAACTTTATTATTACCTCTAGGACATATTTCCTTCACCAACTTTGACCATAAATTTAACCAACGAGACCAATTGTGGTGGGAGAAAAAAATTATATAATTGAAAACTTCTTTCGAATATGAATTCATTGTTATAATTTTTACTCACGCCGCAATCGGTGTTGATAGTTAAATTTACAGTCAAAGTTGAAACACGGGGATAGAGGAAGCACTACATTGTGGAATGGAGGGAGTATTAACCAAACAGCCTCCACCAGCGATATTGCATATAGTGTTAGCATTATTCTGTTCATTGCTCTATTGTGTTACATTGTCAGCATATTCCATGTGCTGACCCGTTCTTCAGGATGCAACATATTATGTTGCAGACTTTTCAGACGAGGAGTAAGGTTCGCTAGGTCGTTGCCGTGCAGCTCAGCTATGCCGTTGGAGTTGAATGACTCACTTTATCTTCCAAGTCTTCCGCTGTTATCGTATTAGATAGCCTTAAGCCATATTAATGTAATAAGTTTTCCTTTGGGAGACATTCGATGTAATAAGTGTGTGATTGCTACTCTGTTATAGATCCTTCGAGTACTATGTGTGTCAGCATTTCCGATCTAGAGATGACATTGAAACACAGAGACTTGACCGTCTGAGATCGGGTCGCTACAAATTTGTAGAGAAAAACATCTAGGATGCCAAAATATATCTCACTAGATTCAACATAAGATGTATTTCATATTATATATATTTGTAATATTGTAGGTATAAATAGTTTTTTTTATAAACTTGGTCAAAGTTTGACTTTAAAAAAAATTCATATGCACTATTTTATGGAATGGGGGAGTATCAAACTTCTGTATCATTTGATTAATCAGAAAAAAAGAAAAAGAAAAAATGCATTGGTCTCGCATGAAATCGAATGATGTAGGAGTTAAATGAGGCTTAATTAATTCTTATCTAGATGAGAGCTGGTCACACCTTTATTTTTATCTTGTGTTTTATCCAAAGGATAATTAATAAACTCCTTATTGAAGCCAGGCAGTGGCACGAGACATCAGTCCGGTGGCACGCCACACCCCAAGCCTCGAACCCACCTAACCCTAGAGAAGCCCTCGGCCTCGGGTCGCCGGCGCCGTCGGCGACTCCGAGGGAGCTCTCCTCTTCCCTTGCCGGTGAGAACGGAACACCTCTCTGCCAGCCGTTTCTCGTAAGCATCTCATATCTTTTTTTTGCCCAAAGATCCCATTTCCCCTCTCTGTAAACACGTCGCGTTTCCGCTGCTAATCTATGCGCAGCAGCATGCAAACTGCTTAAATCTGGCATGCCAAACTCGTCCTACGGCGAGCTCTGGTGATAATCTGGCTCTTAGATAATCCCTATTGGTGTTAGTATTAAAACCAGTGGCGGATCTAGGATTTGAAGACAGGGTGGTCCTCCTAAATTTTTTTGACATCTATGACATGTGAATTTTCTAACTAATTATCAATCCCACATAGAGATCCCGTATGTTCGTATCTACATACCAGATCTACAAAAGCAGTGTCCGTGATCCTCTTCATTCTTCAGTAATTTTGCAATAATAACTTTCCTTTATCAAACATAATAACGTAATTGAACACAAATGATGTGCAAAATTATTTGTACTATGTGTTTGTCTATTCGTGTGTTCTGGACAGTGGATAGCACGACAAAGAACAAACCCTAAATCAATTGGGGGGTTTGGCAGTGGGCGACCTCAAATCTGACGACCACCGGGAGTGCTGGAGACCTGAGATGTGGTCTGGGCGGCGGGCGGCGGCGGCTTGCTCCAAGCGCCGTGCGGCCAGGGCCAAGGCCACAGCCCGCAGGGGGTCGTGGATGCGCGGAGGGTGAGGCTGGCTGTGAGGGCCGGGTGGATGGCGGAGAAGAAGGGGGGAAGAAGAGGCTCGTGGGCGTCCGGGTGAGCGGCGAGGCTGACAGGGTCGCGCAGAAGCGGCGAGGCGGGCGGGGACGGAGGCGGCTGGGCATCGTGGGCGGGAAGGCTCGATGTGGTGCAGACGTGAAGTGGTGGATGCATGCATTGTTGCTTGTTGGGTCAAGTGTTATTGGGCTTTTCTTTTTCTCTCCGACACGTCTCGAACTGCATAGGTATAAAGGCCGGACCAAAATTCCAGGGTGGGCCGCCACCCTGGCCACCCTGTAGCTCCGCCTCTGATTACAACAACAACAACAACAACAACAAAAACTCTTCATGGATTGGAAATTTGGATATCTACTGTTCATTACTTGGCTAGAAAATGCTCGATGCCGAGCAAAATGTTTTACTCTGTCTATTAAATTGCTAGAGAATGTAGTGCTCTGTTGTGGTATGCAGAAAAGTTTTGGTAGGAACGCAATACACAGGGGAGGCTGGAAATTGCTCTGCTTCCCTAATTTGGTGTTAAGATCGTAACCGTTATAAGAACTAACCAAACCTGCATTGCTTTGTGCGAACAACCCAGCTAAACAAGTAAAACATTCATACTGATGCAACATTGATAACATGGACACTTTTTGCGGCAATTGATATCTGCCCTGGGCCGGGCCTCATTACTTCATGTACTAATTGTGGAATATGTACACACATGGCAGGTTTTGAAGCCTTTAGGTAAGAAATCTGAGGTAGGGTTGCTATGGAGTCGTCAGATGACGAGCATGCCATGGAGAGTGATACTGTGACTAAAAGTGATCTGATCAGCGAGCTGCCTGAAGACATCCTCCAGAAAATCCTGTCATGCGTGTGGATTAGAACTGTTGTGCGCATGCGCAGGGTGTCTAGGAAGTGGATGGAACTGTGTGAAAGCCTGCAGTTCATACGCCTTGATTACAGAGATTTCGAACATTGGAAGGTCGAGAAGTTTACTCATTTCGTTAACAACCTATTGCTTGTCCGTCGGAAAGTAGACTTGCACACATTCCAGCTGCATTGGAATCCTCATGGTCCCCTGAACTGCAATGATGTCAGAATGTGGATTGGCTATGCGGTGAAGCATAATGTTAAAGTGCTTGACGTGAAACTTTGTCTATATGATAAGACTGTTTTACCTCCTGCCATTTTCACCTGCCGCTCGCTTCAGGAGCTAAATTTGCAGTGGGGTAATGCTCCCTACCGAGATTATGACCACACGGGACTTGTACTGCCTGACATAATCAATCTTCCTTCTCTCAAGAAACTTACTCTGCGCGACGTGGAAGTGGATGAGCTTTCTCTGAACAGATTCATTGCCCGGAGCCCTGGCCTAGAAGACTTGAATTTGATAGACTCTGCGATGCGTCTTGATCTCATAGCCTCAAAAGCATTAAAAAGGCTAACCCTTGATGGCTTCCTAGGTGAGTGCGATGGATTCACAATTGCTGCCCCTCATCTCATTAGCTTTGAGTGCACGGGATGTTCACTGGAAGCTATTTCCTGGAGAGACCAACCATCTCTAGAGAGCGCACGCATAGATACTTGTGGGTATACATTTGATTGTGAATCAAAGTTCACTGGAGTTCTTAAGTATGCCAAGAAGCTTGCATTATTTGGTTCTGACATAAAGGTATGGCTTTTGAAAAGACAAGCCTGCGGTTCTATCTGTTGTTTTTTATCTTTAATATTTTTGCTAGAACATGCATTCTTTTATTATTCTTGTTAAACTATATAAAAATGAATTATAAAACTTATTACATTATTCAACCGTTGCTGTTGTTTGTAGTCGTTAATGTCAAATTTATCACTACCATGTTTCCAGAACAAAATGGAAGTAAACAAAGTAGTTTTACTTAATAGTTGAAACACTTCTGCTGCAACAAAAAGGTAAAATCTAAGTGCCGTTGCTCAATGATTTGGGTGTACATTTTGTTTATTCTTGCTGCTAAAGTGGATCTGATCATTTTGAATGCAAAACCTAATATCCATGAGTTCATCATATTGCTCCGTTAACTTTGAATTAGTACTAATATTTAGAGCATCTCTAGCAGATCCCGTAAAAACACCACCTGTAAAAACAGTTTACAGGTCCCCTTATAACGAATTTACGGTACCGCGAGGCATCGGGCGGAACAGATCCCATAAACCCGTACCATAAAAGTTTTTTTTCTTTGTTTTCTCCTCACGCTTCTTCTTCCCCGGGACACACACATGGACGAACTCGAACTCTGGCCGGCTAGAACGGCGCCGCTCCGGCCTGCCGCCTGCTCCGGCCCGCTGCCTGCTCCAGCAACTTTCCGGCGACGCTCCGTCCCGCCGCATGCTCTGGCGATGCTCCAGCCAGCTGCTGCCAAGCTGCTCTGCCTGCTCGCTGCTTGCACGCGGCGTCGCCAGGCCCCCTGCTCGAGCGTTGACCGGTTTTATGGGATCCTCAAAAAACGGCTCGAATCCTCCATATATGACGGATGGTTGCTCTAATATACGGGAACCTGTAAAAAAATATGGGGTATGCTATTTTACAGGATCTATTTGGTGTTTTTTTTTTCAACCTGTACAGTAAATCTGAACGTTTGACCGTTTCTACGGGATCTACTAGAGATGCTCTTATGTTGGTCTAAATTCTAACAAACAACTATTGGAGTTGGTTCAATATTTTTCTATACTGATCTCTTCCACAATTTGATTTTCTTACCTTAGTTATGTCCACCAAAATAGAGCACACTTTCAGTAGAAGTAAAAGTGGATCAGATATGATGGAAGCATTCGGAGTGTGAAACCTGGATATGAAATGTAATTCTGTTTGATATGGATACTGTTAAGCTTTAACCACTTAGTTAGTGCTGTGCGTAAGCAGATAGAAGAGAAAAAAAATGCGCTTGAGACATTGTGTTTGATAAGCTTACTAACAAAATTGGCAGTTCTTGTTTTTGATGAGCTTACACTTAGTTACTTGGAAGGCTTTAACCACTTGCATGTTTTCTCAACTGTAACAAAATTCATAATTTTCGTAGTGGGAAATTTGGTCTGTTGGCTTCTTATAGCTGAATATCAATTATCAATTATGATGCAACAGTTTTATATTGCTACATTTTCATGATGTCTTGTGTTGCAATGCTAATTTGATGTTTGCACTCTTCCGTTCAAGTTAATGATACGGTGTTATCGGTATTATAATTGCTTTAGGTTTGTCCTAGTCATAACTCACTCGCTCACTCAATGCAAGGTTATGTTGGAAAAGGAGCTGCCAACATGTTCAGCGTTTGAAAACCTCACAACTCTTGAGATTGGCGAATGGTATTTAACTGAGGACTTGTTCGTTGTGCTTCGCTTCCTCCAGCTTTCACCGAGGCTAGAAGAACTCACTTTGATGAATAGGCCGGTATGCTGCATGTAATATCTATTGCATTTACTATATTGAGAAGTTTTGCTAAAATATATCCTCTCCTTTTGCTTTCTGTTTATCTCTAGCTTGATGAAGGAGCGGAAATAGATTGCATGCCAATTGACGGGATGACCTTCCGGTGTCCACTCCTTGAAAGTGTTGTCATACAATGTTCAGAGGGTGATGGAAGAATTGATAAGCTGCTAAGTGTTCTGGTAGTCAATGGGATTAGTCCAGACAATATAAATATTGCCTTCTATGATGAAATTGAAAAGCGGGACCGTGCGGAGAGGATACGTGCCGACGAGGAACGGTCGAAGGAGCTGCGCATCTTCGAGAAGAGGGTGAGGAGAAATCCAGAATGGAGAGAGTATGATCCTTACGCAATGAGTGAGTCTGACAGCAAGCAGAGTGATGATGGGTTCAGCGATGCATCTGATGACCCTGATGACTACTGAGGGGGTATGGCTTTCAGAGCAATGAATTTGAGAGTTTGACGCTAGAGCCCTGCAGGGTGGGCTACTGCTTTTATACCCATCCAATATTCTGTTCCTTCTGTTCTAGATGAGACCTTCATCTCTTGGATCCTTCCTCTTGCTTCTGAAACTTGGTGACTTGTGGGTTATGGAGCCGAACATCTTATGCTCCGAGCGTTTGTACCGTTTGAGCATAGTTGTGTAATGCGACATGTATACATATTGACCTGTTGTTTTGAACATAGTTGTGCAATGTGACATGGATACATATCGACCTGTTGTTTCTGCAATTACTCTCTAGTTAGCCGTGTGGTCACTGATGGTTAGTGTTGTCCCATGCTCTAGAGTTCGTGTGTGCACTGTACGACCTTTCATATGATGGGAGGCCTTTTCGGTTAATCGACTCTAGAGCGGAGTTGTTTTCTTCCTAAGCTTTGTTCTTGGATCATCGGGGCTAGCATGATCAAAGCACAAAATGAGCACCTGAGAATAACAATTGGTTTTTTTTCTCTTGCTCAACTAATTGACTCAGGCATCCTTCATATTTTGGAATCCTACAGAGATGGTTGTTCAAAAGAATTGAATTTCATTCTCATTGGAGGTGTTTAACAAATGAGAGATAGTTTGTGGAGGATAAGTAGATTTTTTAACTTAACCGTCTGTTCGAAGGGATAACTCGGTCCTAAGAAAGCAGCTCGCTAAACTCAAGCTTGAAGCATAGTTATTCATCTAACCATCATTGTCATTAGGAAAACATTTGTTTTAAGCCGACTGATAACAACGAAACTTAAACCGTCACACTCGCTTGACACGTGTCCCTTGTGGCGCCTGCCCGCTGCCCCACTTCCTAGCGTTATCTTCAGGCCATCCACACGTTTCCTCCAGTCTCATTCCTTTTTGGACGCCATAGCCACCATCCTCGCAAGCTCGCCATGGCCCATCTCTCCTACTTTGATCCCGCATCTCCTTGGTTCATCCCTGCCTGCTCCGTCTCTCTGGTTCATCCCGCCATGGCCGCACCTCTCCTGCTTCACACCTCGCCATCTCCTTGCTTCATCCCCGCTCGATTCTTCTTCATCCCATCATGGCCGCACATGCTGATTTTTTTCTCATGGTGTGGGCGGCGATGCGAGGGGTCCGGCGAGGTGCTGCAGCCGTTGATGGTGTCTCAAGGCGGAGCCTCTCGCCGCACTTGCTACAATAGGGAGGTCGAGGAGGAGGTGCAAAACATCAACAAGCTCAACCGCTCGACGATGCGAGGCTGCAACAACCGGTGAAGCAGAGGGGGCTCGCCGGCGTTGCGATGAAGCATCGCCGGGGGGCCGCCGGAGCTGCAGTGAAGCACGCGGGGTCGTTGAAGCGTCGCCGGAGCTGCAGTGAAGCGTCACCAGAGCTGCAATGAAGCGTCGTCGGAGTTGCATTGAAGCGCCGGAGGGCCGTTGAAGCTTCGCCGGTGTTGCAATGAAGCGCCGACGGAGCTGCAATGGAGCGATGGCGGGCGCCGGCGGTGTTGCGCGGGGCTGCCATGGGGAGCTTCTGTGTGGTGCTGCTGCCATGGAGGAGCTACCTCATCCTGCGGCTGTGAGCGTCTAAATCGGACGGCTCTAGGGGCGGTTTAATTATGCTAAACATCATCCAGATGATTTGTAGCAGTGGCCTTGTCATTAACATCAAAACCCTCATTATAGATTGTCATTTCAATCTCCTCTTTTGGTGGTTAATGACAGTATGGTTAGTGATAATTCCCAAGTTTTTTTGTGTGGGGTTGATTTTTTTTGAGGTAATTTTGTGTGGGGTTGATAATTCCAAGTGTGGCGAGAATTGTAGCACTTTTCGAAAGTGGAGGCCGTAAGTACATTAACCCCCAAAACTGCCCAAATAGGCCCAAATATCAGGCGGGCCGGTGGGCTAAACGTGCAGGTGGGCCGGCCTGTTTCCTTGCTGTGTCCAGCACGACCCATGTATTAGGCCCATATTAGACCGTGTTGGCCCAGGCCAAGTTTGGCGGGGGCACCCTCGGTCCCTCCCTCCGTTCGTGGGGATGTAGCTTTACTCCATCCCGGTCGGCCGGTTGGGGGGCAAGCCAAATCCAAACTTCAGAACTCAAAGTGCCTCGCCTTGAACCCTAGGAAACCTCGCGGGTGCGGTTGGCTACCGTGCTGGACATTCAGCGAGAGCGCTCCTCTTCCTCGCCGGTGAGAACAAAGCTTCTTCTTGCATTTTATTGTATATATAAGCATAAGCATACATTGGTACCATCCCAGATCTGGTTCTTGCTCTCATTTCACCCCCGTTTGTTGTACTCTGCGTGCTCAAGCTTCTCGGATGAGACCAAGATATCTCTCTTTGTAAAGCCACACGTTTTCCCTTTGGAATCCATATCATAGTTTTGCAGGTTCACTGAAAATCTATGCACGCCTGCTTGCCAAACCGCTTAGGGTGTGTGTGTCAGTCAGACTGTCAGTGCCCAGATTAGCCCTGCCCAAAAGTAAATAAAAAAAGATTTCCCATTATACTGATAACCTATGATTGACCAGACATTAGCGACGGTCTCCTTTTTCATTTACATTTTCTGAAATTTTTAGGTACTCTCCTTACTGGCGTAGTATTACAGAAAGTGTCATGTTCTGGGTCTGTGCCCATAGCCGACTAGGGATATGCTCAATGCCAAGCAAGATTTCTTACTTGTCAATACATATTTTGATGCCCTATTGTGGTACGCATTTTTCGGTTGGTCGATTACCCAGGGTGGCGGCAACCGTTCTGCTCCACGACCCCCAGTTTGATGCTGAAGTCACAACAATTATGAGCACTAACCAAGACTTGCAATACTTAGTGTGAAGAGTCCACTAAACAAATAAAACCTTCATATTATTTATGTAGCATGGTAACATGGACACTCTTGAGATAATTGAACTTTTTCTCTGCTGGGGTCTCATCACTTGATGTATTAATCGTGGAATGTGTATATACATGGCAGGTTATCTAGCCTTTTTGGTTAAGGAATCTGAGGCAGGGTTGCTATGAAGTCAGGTGATAAGAAGGCCATGAGAGGTGACAGTGATCAGATCATACACCTTGATTACAGACTTTGGGCGTTGGAAAGTCGAAAAATTTGCTCATTATGTTGACAACCTATTGCTTGCCCGTCGTAATGTTGACTTGCACACATTCCGTCTGCATTGGGATCCTCATGCTCCCCTGAACTGCAATGATGTCAGAAAGTGGATTCGCTACGCTGTGAATCATAAAGTTAAAGTGCTTGACGTGGAGCTTTGCATGTATGATAAGACTAATTTACCTCCTGGCATTTTCACCTGCCGCTCACTTGAGGAGCTAAATTTGCAGTGGGGTGGAGCTCCTTTTCGAGATTATGAGCATAAGGGACTTGTGCTGCCTGACATAATCAAGCTTCCTTCTCTTAAAAAACTGACTCTACGCGATGTGGAAGTGCATGAGCTTCCTCTGGAGAGTTTCATTGCCCGGAGCCCTGGCCTAGAAGACTTGCATCTGATAGACTCTGCAGTGTGTCTTGAGCACATAAAATCAAAAGCGCTAAAAAGGCTAACCATTGATGGTTCCATGTATGGACCAGATAGAATGACAATTTCTGCTCCTAATCTCATTAGCTTTGAGTGCACCGGTTTTTCACTGGAAGATATTTCTTGGAGAGACCAGCCATCGCTAGAGAGCGCACGCATAAATACTTGTGGGCGTACATTTGGTGGTGAATCTAGGTTTACAGGAGTTCTTGTGCATGCCAAAAAACTTGCACTATTTGGTTGTGACATGAAGGTATGCTTATCAGAAGACAGGCCTGTTGTTCTGTTTGGTATTTTTCTACTTTGTTTTCTTGCGAAAATATGAATTATCTTTTGTCATAAATTCTGTATGGAAAAGGGTTTAATAAAACTATATGCTCTCTGCTCTGTATCTAGAGCTGTGGTGCATGGTTGCTGTCGCTTGTAGTTGATAGTAGCACGTCAGCATGTGTATTGCTATATTTACCGAAAGCAAAATGGAAGTCAATAAAGTGGTTTTACTTAAAAGTTAAACACTTATGCTGCAACTAAAAGGCAAATATAATGTGATTGACTAATTTGTCAATGTACATTTTTGTCATGCTTTGCTTAATTTACCTCCTGTAAGTTGTCAATATTGGTTATTTTACTTTTTTGCTGATGATGTTCTGAAGATATTAAGATCCATTAGGGAAATGCCTGCAAGACAAACTCGTGTATCACATGTATTGCTTAATTTTCCTACCCTGATGGATTGAATATTGGCGCCCTTACATTTTCAAAGTGCAGCAGTAGATTTTGCCCTATTTTCAAGGCGTATTTGTCTATTTGGGATCAATAGCTTTTAGTTTTCTTTCTTAAAGGCTCTTCATGTGTTATGTTTGTTGAGACCGGTAATGATTGAATATCGGTTGCCTTTGCATTGCCGGTGCGCAGTCATGTTTTACTGAGGTGTATTTGAAATCAGAAGTTCTCTGTTTTCCTTTCTAGGAGGTTCTTCGCAAGTTATGTTTGTTGAAGTTTAATTCTAGTGTGGTAGGCTTAATGTTGTGTGTGTACCTTTTTTAATTTTTTTGCTGCTGAAATGGACGTGAATGTGCAAAGCAATATATATATGAGACCATGAGTTTATCCATTAATGCTGAACTAGTTCTGGTAATTCATGTTGGTCTAAGTTCTAACAAACAACTGTTGGATTCATAATATTTTTCTATACTGATCTGTTTTACGATTTACTTTCCTTCTATCAGTCGTTTACACTAGAACAGAGCAAACTTTCAATTTTAGTAAAAGTGCATCAGATATGAAGGAAACATTCAGAATATGAAAGCTAAGATATCAAACGTCATTCTGGTTGATATGGATATTTTAAGCATTTGCTGATTTGCTGTGCGTAAGCAAATGGCAGAAAAAACATGAACTTTAGAGATTGTGTTTGATAAGTTCAAGGTGCAGCTATTGTAGAAACATCGGGCAATGTTTCATTTGTTTGTTTTCATAGTGAGACATTTTGTCTGTTGGCTTCTTATAGCTTTCAACATTAGTTGTCAACTGTGGTGCGAAAGTCTTGTAGTGGTAGTGCTACATTTTCATGATGTCTTGTGTGGCAATGGTCATTTGATCTTTTCCCATTTTTGTTCAGTTATTATACATTATCATGCTTGTTTCTGCTTCGGAATAGTTATAACTCGCTTGCGTACTCATTTAATCAAGGTTATTTTGGAAAATGAGCTGCCTACATGTTCAGTGTTTGAGAACCTTGTAACTCTTGAAATTGGCAAATGGCACTTGACCAAGGACTTCTATGTTTTGCTTCGCTTCCTCCAGCTTTCACCAAGACTAGAAGAGCTCGCTCTGATGCATAGACAGGTACGCAGCATGTAATATTATTGAATTGAAATATTTTGAAAAGGTTCGCTAACATGTAGGACCTTTTCTCTCTCTCTTCCTGTTTGTCTCTAGCTTGACGAAGCAGCAGAAACAGAAGGCATGCCTACTGATGGAATGACCTTCCAGTGTCCATTCCTTAAAAGTGTCATCATACAGTATTCAGAGGGTGATGATGGAATTGACAAGCTGGTGGATGTCCTGGTAGCGAATGGTGTCAGTTCGGACAAGATAAGTGTAACTTCCTACGAAGATATCAAAAAGAGGGCCTTCGCTGAGAATGCACGCGCCGAAGAGGAACGCCCGAAGCAGAAGAGGGCGAAGAAAAATCCAGACTGGGAAGATGATGACTCCGACGAACAGAGTAACCCTGATGATAGCAGTGACGAGTATGATCCTGATGACTTTTGAGGAGCGAAGCTTTGGCAGCGATGAATCTGAACATGATGATTTCTAGAGCTCTCTAGGGTTAAGTTGTGCCCAACCATTAGTTTCCCTTTTGTTCTGCATGAGACCTTCATTTGGATCCTTGTCCTGAAACTTGGTGAATGCTGGGTTTTGGAGCAGCAAATCCTATCCATATATGCTGTAAGCATTTGCACTGCTTGAGCATAGCTGTGTAGCGTCTTGGCTCCGGGTTTGATTTCCGCGCCTGCTATTTTGCCGAAATTGTCTGGACCAGAGGTGTTTGCAATTGCTCTGCTGTTAGCTGTGTGACTACTGATGGTTCTTCGATGTGAGCTGTAAATAGATGCGTGGATGTTCCTGTGATTTGGGCTGTTACTACTGCTAGATGATATGCAGTTGTATTAGAGATGTGTAGTGGAGGTGGACGTTTGGTATATGGGTGTATCTACACCCTACATGAAAAGGAAAGATTAGTTGTAATTAAATAAAAAGTCAAAAAATTCTTAAAATATAAATTAAATAAACTTGACCTTCCATTGTACCGCCTCCGTCTCGAAATTCTTGTCTCTAGATAAGAATTTTGGGATGGAGATAATACTTGTGAAAAAGTAAAAAAAAACCCTTGACTGGTTTTAAAAAGATACAAATTTTTGGTCAAAATAGTGTGAATAATGACCCTATAATAGCAAATAAATTTTCAGCTCGCTTCAGTGCTTGTAGTTGTCGTTAGGTGGTCTACGGAGCTGGATGTAATTTTCATTATTTCTTGTGTTCGTTGTACTACCATTGAATATGAATAGATCGGAAGTTTTCCCGTAAAATAATAATGATAAATAAATTCTGTTTTTTGCCTTGAAGTCAACTCTGGGCTTATTTTCCATGAAAAATTATATATACTAGTGCAAAAGAAAATTAAGTTTATTGCAAAAAACTTCTGAACTATTTTGACTTTTTTTTGTAATTATTAAATATTTTTCCCCATATAGGCTATAGGAACCAAGACTCCAAGAGGTACTACTCTGATAGTGCTGCTTGTTTTCGAAAAAAGATAGTGCTGCTTCGCCCGCGCTCCCCGAAAATCAGAAGCGAAACGCGCGCGGGAGGACAGGAGGAGCGGCGCTGGAGCTGGGAAGCACAGCAGGCCTCGACGGCGGCGGCGCAGGTCAGCCTCCCCCTCTTCCTTCTCTCCCCGCCCTCATCTTCCTCTTGTCTCCCCGCCCACCCCCCTCCTTTCTCTCTGCGGCGTTACGCGTTGCCCCGTCTGCCCCTCACGACGGCGGCCTCCATCTCGGATGCGGCTCGGCCACCACGGCCAGCAGCCCATGCCGGCCGCTGCCTCCTGCTACTCATGGCGACCGCCGCGTTGATCACCACCGCCGGGACCCCATGGCGACCGAGCCTTTCCCCCTCGCCCCCCATGGCCGGCACCCCATGGCGGCTGCTGTGTGTAGTGTAGGTGCTGTTATTTCTGTACAAGTGCTGCTGTTGTATTCTTGACATATAACCTTCCACAGATATTCACATGTTGCACACAAGTTAGTTTTAAACATTACTCCCTCTGTAGAGAAATATAAGAGCGTTTATATTCAAAGTACAATATTCATCCTATTACAAATGAGCAATTCCATTTTGACAACGATCATCCAAATAATATTCAGAATTGAGTCTCTCATGTGAATTCCAAGTGTCTGTTCTTGAACACATCCAAACAACATTATTCAGTTTCAGGTTCAATTTCAATATCAATGTCTGCGAGGTTTGATGTTGGGACCAATTCAATTCCATGGCCCTCAATATCAACATCAACATCAACATCCAAATGGAGCCTTAATATATAGGAGGCCACATTTGGTGAGTGAGTTGGACTTTCTCTCATCGGCATACTGCAAATTGTTGATGCAGGGTTGAGAATAAGAAACAGTGACCTGTCCCACCTGGCGAAATGCCTTGTTACTACGACGTTGCCGACATCCTCATGGAGGAGGAGGTAACCGTGCTCGTGTTATCCTCTGGTTCATTTATGCTTGTGCAGATGGCATGAATACTCTACTGTAATTGCAGCTTATTTCGGTTGTTTTCCAAGTAACTGCAAATGGCGTCGGTCTGCTAGATCCTGGTGCCGAGAGAAACAGTGTAAGCATCTTTTTTTGACCCTTAGTGTAAGACTGTAAGCATCTGTCCGACGGCATTTGTGTATTTATGTTTAACTGCTATGTTAAACTTGCTGATGGGCAACTGCTGCCAATTCTTCCTCTGATCTGTTTGTTCTTGAGCAAATTACTTTTCAAATACGTTGACTAGTTGAATGATATTTACCTGAGATAGATGCATTGTATTTTAGTTTGCAAAATTGATATGGAATGCTAGATGCTTTCTTTTGCCCCTCTGCCTTATTTCTTAGTGAACACCAACTGGGAGTTAGATGCTTTGGTTTTTTAGCACCTTTTCTTGCCACTGTGGAAAATGAATCAAAGTATTTATCTGGTTCCAATGCTTAATTTCTTATATTCTTTATGTTCAGGTTGAAAAGGGTGCTAAAGTAGACCTTCCATTTTGGCTTGCGCATGGAATGCTGTCTCTGGAACAAGCGGTGTCAATAAATGTACCTCCTTGCTTCACCCAGAAGTAGGCTTCTTCGTAATCTGTTTTTTGTATTTGTAGAAATTCTTGAGAGGGACACTAATATATACTGGATGCAGTAGTATGTAGTTATCGTTCTCATTTCAACAAATTTACATGGAAATTCCTCTTGTCAACTTAATGATGCTTTTAAGTAGATACCCTTTTTAACTGAATGAAATACCCATTGGTTGAGTTTTGTGGCTTGTGTGACGTAATTTGCATGCAGAACTCGGAAGGAGATCCAAGCTGATGCAGCCTGTGTTGATTTGAGGGTTCGGTGCCCTTACTTTTATGAGCTTGGATGCAAGATTGTTCCTCTGTAAGTTCTGAACGATCTCAGTTACACATTCTATTTTATTTCCATTTTTGTCTATCTCATTTCCTTTCTCTGTGCAATCTTAAATTCACAAATTCTCAATTAAATGTTTCTATACGATTTTGTTAGAAATAGATTACCCACTCCACTGCTTCGCAGAACTTTGATGAGCCTTAGCCATGTTATATTCTCAGTTGCAATAACTGGGTAATTGTGTAGGCATACAACACTACAATGCATTATGCTTTCTACATGTATTCTGTTTTTGTAAAAAATTAAATGCTTACATGCCCATAAAAAGGATATTTGCAGTGGCATATTAAGGTAACATAGGAGGAACTTCTATAAGTTCAAGTAGCTGTAATCTTGGGGAGAAGATGCAATTAATACTATGAATTGTGCGTAGGTAAAGTTGATTGCCTGCTAACAGAAATGCAATCATATGGTTTTCTTTACTGAGGGCCCAGACTAACACATGCTTTTAACCACACTCACAATGTTATCTCCCATCTCAATTTAACCAAACTATGTTCAAATTGATGTTTAATCCAAATGATTATAACTTCCAGCCTCATGGTTTGAGCATGTTCTACTGTTCCTATTTGGCACTTGGCAGCAAGCTCCCTTTTATCTGCTCCAACAAATGATTTAATAAGTCATAGTGAGACATGCCTTTTTGCTTTAGCCTTTTAGTTTCAGTTTTGCTTCTAACAAGATTCAAATAAACCGCACCTTCTTGAAATGTGATTGATTGTTCTTCTTGTTCTTTCATTTTATTCTGAATAAGGTAATATATGGTCGCTTCGAGATGATCAAATATATTCCTTGCTGATCAAATATATTCCAAATAAGGCAGCTCCCAGCACAGAAACTACTTACAACCAGGTAAAAAAAACTACTTACAATCAGGTCACTAGGAAAACACTAGAACAGAACATGAACCAGTTCAAAATACTGCAGCTAAAAAGAGCCACACTCAAGTGCTTCTACTGCATTGCTCCCTCCTCAGGCACCTTCAGTACGTAGGACCATTGGACCCCATCCCTGCCTCTGCTGAAAAAATTCACTGGCCACCAGCGTTAGCATAATTTTGCCGCGTTGCGACAGTGTGTAACTAAGTTTTCCTGAATAAATAAGTTATGGTTATTTGAGGTTTGTCCCTTTTCGAAGGCATACTCTGGACGATGTACTTAATTAGGACAAGAGCTGACTGTAATCATCTTAATCTGGAAATGTCAAGGATCCAGATATAGATCTCAATGGTGATTTGCCTTCAATTTTAATTGCACTAGAACATAAATAATTGAATGTTTAGTAGCCGGCTAGCCGCCTGTAGCACATGTTGTGAGAAACTGGGTGAACATAGAGAGGTGCCACTTGACAGTGAATTGGTTATACTCTGAGTGATCCTAATTGGGATTTGAGTTTCTCCTGATGGTTCAGGTGAATAGGTTGAAAATGTGTAACTATTCTCAGATTAGATATGATCTATGTCAATCACAATGCCAACGTGTCATTTCATGACATGCATTGTGTGGCACATTCTTTTGTGCTCAGTTTGGAGCTCTGAATTTCCTTATAAGCAGACCGGGAAAGGCTCTGAATTGCTCCCCTTCTATATGCAGGTGATAAAATTGACCCAAGTCACCCAACCCATCTGGTTTACTGTCCACATTCAGTTTGAAAGACCCCCCGCAGGAGGTGGAGTCCTCACTGCTGTTCCAATTTTGTCAGTTCTGTGAAATATTGTTAGGTGTTGGCTTTGTAGGGATACCATGAAGTAGTTATGTAGTGATGTTTGGGCATCTTAGGGCATCTCCAATGGGAGAGGCGCTAGGCCAGGGCGCCAGGAAAGAAATCCCAGTAGATCGTCGGTTAGGCTGTTTATTCCCAGCGCCTAGTGTGGCATCGATGCAAAGAAAAGCATCGAGCGCTAGGCTGTTTCCTTTCACGTACGAGAGCTGGGCACTTCTTTCTAATTGGTAATTAGAGCTTGTTTAGCGCCTCCCATTGGAAGAGAGGGCGCTAGATCCCTTTTTATTTTCTGGATATTTATTTTTCACGCCACAAGCGCCTGTATAGGCGCCTAGCATTGGAG